GTTTAAGGTGCCATGGTTCAATAAGTTAACAATTGTTGCATCGAATGACATCAATGAAGACACCATTCTCAGCTTGAATGAACAGGGTCATAAAATTGATTGTTTCGGAATCGGTACTCATTTAGGTAAGTTCCGTGCGCAGATATGAAAACAGTACCCTACAATTGTGATTCAAACTAAGAGTTATTAGTTAGACAAAGCCAAAAATTTCGTTGCCTCACTGCTTTAAAGGTGCCGCCAGAGCATCAAATTTACCCATACATGCATTATCTATGTACTACATACATATATTTATATGTATCTGCTACTATGTCCAAAGAACTTAAATGTATATACATATATTAAAACCATATTTCAGTTACATGCCAAAGACAGCCAGCCCTCGGTTGTGTGTACAAGCTAGTTGAAATAAATGGACAACCACGCATTAAATTGAGCCAAGATGTCGAAAAGGTCACAATGCCAGGAAACAAGAACGCTTACAGGTACATTTCGTATTATAATTGGTTATGCCACATTTTATAGATGTATGTAAATCGGTCGAATATTTCCAGATTATATAGTGCTGATGGACATGCACTAATTGATTTACTACAGAAGGTTTCGGAGCCGCCTCCAAGTGTTGGTCAAAAAGTTTTGTGCCGTCATCCCTTCCAGGAGTCGAAGCGGGCTTACGTAATTCCCTCCCATGTTGAATTATTGTACAAAGTATATTGGAAGGACGGCAAAATTACACAACAGTTGCCCACATTAGAACAAGTGCGCGAAAAGGTAAAGATTTCGCTTAAAACCCTGCGGAATGATCACAAGCGCACACTCAACCCAACGCCTTATAAGGTATGAAAAGTTTAACTTTTCGCTTTATTTTCACATTATTCTTTTTAATCAGATTAATAAATGTGTTGTCTGTGGTTTTCTTCATGCAGGTGGCCGTCAGCGACAATTTATACAACTTTATACACGATTTGTGGCTACAAAATGCACCGATTGGCGAACTCTCATGATCTATATAATTTTCTAATTTCCCGACAAAGAGTCATGGTGCAAATCATATGAACATAAAATTAAAAAAAAATTCATCTTAATTTGAAATAGGCAGCGATACAAGCAAATTACGTTTACAATTCTCATTTCAATACATTCGTAGATTTATATATGGAAATCGGATTGGGGAAATATAAGGTACGCATTACAGAAAATGCTATTAATACACATATGTACATACAATAATAAATACAGATTACAGCACAACTTATCAGGAATGCGTCTTGTGCCTTATGTACACAGACCCGGTTATATATGTATAAATGCATATGAATGCAAATTCGTTTGCATGACTTTTAAGTACAATTATTAGTTATGCAAATAAGCGTCATTGTAGGTATATACACCAATGTGTATATATGAGCTTTTAAATAGATGTTAGTTGAACATTAAAATTAATATTACACTCACAATGAAACATACTGAAATATTGCAAGTTAAAAAATTGTCATAATTAATATAATATATAATATTTTAAGATATTATTAAAATCGATTGAGAAATTTCTTGCAAAACGTAAAATATGCACAACTTAACCTTCACTAAACCCTTTATTGAGTATAGAATGCATAACTAAAATAGCATTCCGAATCACGTAAGCCATTGTGGCAATTTCTTGTTAATGAAAACTTTTTGCCTCCCTGACGCACCCGATGTAGTTTAAGATTTATAATGTCTGTAATTGATTAAGTTACATATTATGACATTAGCAAAGCGTACATACCAAGGCATATTTTATATATGTAATATAGTTTGACCGTGTGTTTAAAATTAAGTGTTGGTTTATATTTTTAAATTAGAATTAAAAGATTGGAAACACAAAAATAAAATTTGTACAAAATAAATCATCCAATATTCAGTTTATTATTACGGTGAGATGATATATGTATGTAAACTGTTTAAAGAGAAAGTTACCTGACTACCATATAAACTCGTTAATGACAAAAAAATGGAAACACGCATAATTATTTTCAAATTTTTATTAATTTATTGGTTGTATCATTGTCTTGTACATTTCAAAAATTCATATCCTTATTAAGTATATTTTATGAAAGATCTTTATAATCTACTCTGAATCTTCGCACAGGATTGTTCATCGATTTAAGTATGCATGTATTTTGTATATTAAGTTTCCGTCCATTTATTTTCACGTGGGTATATATGTATGTATAGTATATAATTCACTACATAATATGAAACTGTTTAACGTTGAAGATAAATAATTTTTTTATAGTTTTGTCACTATTTACTATTCCGCTTTTATATATATGTATGTTCTTAAATTCTTTATTGTTTGGTTATAGTTCTTTGATTAATTATCTGAGTATTTGTACACTTCTTGCTTTAAAAATTGTTGATTAAGGAGTTGTCATATACTGCAAATTTAAATGTGGATTTGTTTTCGTATTACAACTTAAAAAATATGAATAAAAATATTATTGTTTTCATTATATTTCTTTATGTTTTTAGAATTATGTGTTTTATTTCCCAGTTTTTCTGGTTCGTTTTGTTGTTAGAGGTCTTTGGCATTTCAATTACTTAAGTATATTTATACGATTGTTGCAATATTTTATCTATACAATTTTCAATCTAACAAATTGCTCTTTTGACCATAGAAATCGCGGTACTAAACTTCAGTAAAATTTATAAAAATGTTAGTTAATTGTGTGCTCAAACAGAGTATTGGATGTTCACTTTAGCTTCAAGTACATTTACTTGAACGCGATCAACGCATTATCCATAACAAGGATGTTTTGTATATACTATACTTATTTAAAATAGATATAACCAGATTTAACAACATTTCAATTATTAGCTTTATTGCATCAGTTATTTTGTTTTCCGATTCGAGCTGTACATAAAGGGATTAACAATGGCAAAAAACAAAAAACAAAAAAATTTTTTTTTGTTTTTGCTGAAATTCTAATATATACAAGCTTCTAATGTATTCACAATAAATTTTAATCAATCTTCAACGCAATATAAATTTGTAAAATGTTGTCATCTCTATTCGGTACATACACATGTAGGTATCTATATGGATAGGCATACTTATCTATACAAATCTGTATGTCTTTGAAAACAAAAAACAAAAAAATCGACTCCCTCAAGAATAACATATGTATGTATATTCAAGTATTTTCCCTTTGACAATAAAGAGAATTAGAGCTGACGGAATAATGTGGTGTTATCCCCACATAAATATGAAAAACATATCGAAAATTAAATGCCACCAAATTTCTAATAAATCGTATGTTTTTTTTTTTTTTGACTAAAATTTATGAACTTCCTTAATGGTTAATTTTCAAATATTCACCTTAAATTTCGAAGTGCATCTCTTTATTGTTAAAGGTGTCTTTCGTCTTTTTGTTAAATGAAAAATAATGACCATTGAGTTTTTAGCTGTAAAAAATGAAACACGCAACTTATTACAAATAATTGTAGTTTTATTTTCCGAAATTTGAATTTCTCTTTAAGCTTACAATAACACAAATTCTTAACTGTCATCATTCATATTTCTTTTCAAAGTAATGTAATCTTGGCTTTTTGTTTTTCGTTTCTACAAACTATATGTTTACAGTCACGCCGACAATTGATAATTAATTTTCAAAACTGTTATGTATATATTTTTTATTGTAGTAGATATTTTACATACTTAAGTATTTATCTGTTGGAGTTTTAGTGATGTACAAAATTACACAAGTGGTAACCTATTCAATCTTATTCTTAGAAGGTTATATTGGTTGTGCTATCACCATATCCTCATTGGAATTACAGTACTTCATCCCCGATAGCATATCTTGTACGCAGTTGTAATTTGCACCTTTTTGGTATTGTTATTGTTATTTTAATTATTATTTTAATTAACTTAAATGGCTTCTCATATTATTTCACTATTTATTTTTTATTATAAAAACTTATTTGATTTTAGAAATCTTTACAATTTATTTTTGTTTTTCTTTGCTTTTTTAACAAAACAAAATCACATTGATTTGTTCAAGTTTATTGAAATTTAAATCCTAATTTAGTCAAAATATTATAAGACAACAAAATATTTTTGAAATATATATAAAAATAAAACAACGATAAAGTGACTAAGGAGACACAAAGGAAGGCAGAATCGTATGTAGCGTTATTAACATTCTAATGCTAAAATAAATATTATAAACAATACTAAATAAAAAAATATTAGCAATTTTTGTACAATTAAATAATGTCAAACGAACTGAACAAAGTTGTTTGTACATGTGTAATTGAAATAATTGTATATGTATGCATGTACATATTCATATTGTGAGTAACATAATGTTGAGTTAACATATTTATATATTATGTGCAGTATACGTGTTACTTCATCTTTCAATTAATAAAAATATATTGATCACTAATCTGATTATACAAACAGGCATTCTCCATCGAAACTGATTTACATTTTAACTGGTGGGCTAATCTGGCTTGTTTGTGTCAAACATAATAAACAAATATTCATGCATATATCATATATAATAAATACATAAGTATATTAATAATATAGTTAGAAGAAGTAAAGTTTCTACTCCACTTTATTAATCAATATTTAACAAAATTCTAAGGGCTAAGTGTGCACCAGCATAGAACATACCCGGATTTTTGAACAATTTTACAAGGAGTATTGCATACAAAAATGCAATGCATGAAAATGCAAATATATGCGTAATAGCTATGCGTGCGTATTGAACTCAAATATAGCGGGAGTTATCGGAAAACATTGGTAATTAAGTATACTTATGTGTGTAATGCATAGCTTTTTTCTACATTGTTTGCTTCTAATTATACTTTTTACGAATAATAATTAAACTACGGACATTACTGTACATATGTATATGTACAAAGTAAATGAAAAAAGGCCTACTTACAGATATTGAATTAATATTATAAATATACAAGTATGTGTATGTACATATGTAGGTTTCTTAAATAAACTTTTTGTTTTAATTCATTTTAAAGCTTTGGTTTCAGTAAATATATATTTTGTATGCTTTTTTGCACTTTAAACAGAATAACAAGAAAATGCAGTTTGTTTTAAAAAACTAAAAGAAATTACTGGGAGAGCATATTCGTAAAACGGGACATCTGCCAAAAACATGGTTAAAAAAATATTTTTTTTTTTACATATGACAGTAAGCGGTTTCTGCTTAAGAAAGAATAAGTTCTCAACATTTTCTAACAATTGCATTAAGAACAAAAGGTCTGTATACTAGAACTTAATAAACGAATAAAACGATTTGTATTATTTATGTTAATTATGTATGTATGTACATATAGTATGTGAATACACACGTGGGTGTGCGTTGAAACTTTTTACACTGTGTTCAACTTGCTTTCTATGCTTAGAATCTAGTTGATTGGAGTAACCATTAACTTTTGTCATCTAACTATTTTCCAACGACTTTCCAACTATTATTTCGTGAAAGAAAAAAATTCATATTGAAGTTCTTACAAAATTGTATCGATCCATAAATTTGAAATATTTCAATATTCCAAATACACAAACATACATATAATATATGCATGCGTTTATTTAATATATCTGAATAAATGTTACACTTTAGTTCTGTATTCTTTATAATTGTGAACTTGTGGTCAGCTTTGAAGCATTTTAGCATGGAAAGCTAAATTTAAATTAAAAGAGAAGCACATAAATACATACTTATTATGTAAATATGTGAGTTTTTGGAGTATTTACATTACATATGAATTGTACTCGTCATAAGGGAAGCAGAGTAAGGGTGTGTATATATATGTACGTATTTCCACTTGTACTAAGAAAGTACTCTCACATTACCATGATAAATGAGTTAATTATGTTAGCCCGCTTTGATATATTTTATCGTAGACCCTTCGAACACGCCGACTATCAGTCTTATTGCATTGTAACGGTTACATTATCTCATCTTTGACCCATAACTCGGTGTTTGTTGTCGGTGTTTCTTTTTTACTCGCCTTCGTGGCGAGAGGTGTTCGGGTCACCTGATCATTACATATGTTATTGTTGTTAACCTTAGCACTGACGCTGAATTTTTCATCGTCGTATTTTGTAGCTTTATGTACTTCATTTGATTTTCCCGACGAAATAGAGTGGTTGGGAAATCTTCTATCGCGCGTACAGTTTTGCTCTTTTTTAATGTTCAATGTTCCTGCTTTCACATTTTCACGGTTGTCACTAGTTTTGATCTCATCGCAAGCGCTGTCTTGAACATCGCCAAACATTTTTTCAACTTCGTTGAACTTTGTCTTTTCTTTCACTTTCGCCAAGTCGTCGCGATCGTCCACAGATTCAGATATTTTCGCAAGAGCGTCAGATGCTGACATTTGGGCTTTCTTCATTGATAATTCATCACTACTATTGCTGCTGTCGAACAACTGTCCAGCAGTTGCGGTTGAATGAGGCGACAGTGGCGTACATGCTGCCGGTACTATACCTAGGGAGCTGTTGTGAGGTGGTTGAACATCTGACTCTACCGTTTGTGAGCTCGTTAAGGGTGCGCTGCTTTCATCTCCGTCATCATCCGATGTATTTGTATCACTGCTGCTACCATTTGTAACAGTAAAACGGGAAGCCTCCGCTTCGTCATCACCCAAATCAGTGTTACTTATTTGCGCATATACTTTATTTTTATTTTTTGAGCACTCGTTGCCGTAATCCGACAACGGCGCCTCGTCTTCCGAATCGAAATTGGGATCATGATCATTTCCTTGTGATGTCTGTTCTGCTAAATGGCCTATATTTTCTTTGTTTATTGCATATGTCTGGCTTATACTGTCACTGCTTTCACTGCCACTTTCGATTCTAGAACGCTTCGCTTGTGGCTGTTTATCTATATCAATTTCGTTAACATCATTTTTGTTGCTAGCTGGTTCATCAACACTTTCTTCGATGTCGGCGTTAGTTCGGATTTGATCAACGGTATCAACAGCATTATCGGCCTTCTCACTTTCCTTATCACTACCATTATCGTGATCATAATTGTTTTCCTTATTGTTGCAAAGAGCTTCGTGTTCATCTCCATTATTGCTGAATTGATCATTTTCCAACTGATTCCTTTTCTTTCTCTCATATAAGTTTGTCTGACTATTCACTTTCACTAAGTTATTATCATTTTCACCGACGTCAATTTCTTTTGTTAGACAGCTGTTTACAAAATCATTCTCGTCTATGATCGTTAATGATTTTTTCAATGGTGAGCTGCGAATCTTGTCATTTTGAAGACCTTCTTGGTTGTCTAAGCCATTGAATTGAATGGGGGGCTCTTGTAAACTGAGAATTTGCAAATGGTGTCGACACGCTCGTAGTTGTTCTCGAAGTTCTCTGATCATTACGTCACGTTTGTGTGTCATTTCGCTGAGTTGAAGGTTGCTATAACGTAATTGTTGGTTTTCGTGTAAAACTTTCCGTAACAGACCGAGTACTCGATCTCGTTCCTTGGGTCCGGTATCACGAAGTGCTTCAACGGCCATATCCCAAGGTGCTAAAATATTGCTGCTATCCGCCTCTCCATTCACACTGTCATCGTCAGTGTCCGTAGACAGCTCGAACTCGGAGCCGACGTACGGCAGTCCGTTGTATGAGCTTTGAAGTTGGGATTCTTGTTGATTTTGTGCATCCGTCACATCTGTCCGCATTAGAACTTTTGTGGAACTGGTGCTCAAATTTAACCCTGCGGTAGTGGAAGATTGTGAAGGCGAATGTTTTACTTGCTGCAAATTTGGTTGAGAGCGGATGAGGATGTGTTGGTGTTGTATTGTTGATAGCGCCTGGTGTTGTTGCTGCTGACGTTGTTGATCGTAAGCTCGCTGATTGTGCTTATAAAATTCGTACTGTTGCTGATGCTGTTGCAATATTTGCAGCTGCGGTTGTAGCTGTTGTTGTTGTGGTGTGTGATTGGACTCTTGTTGCGTATGAAGTTGGGACAATGCAGCTGTTGGAGGTAGTGATGGTGGAGGTGTTGGCGATCTCATTATATTCGACCGATTGATTAAGTTTTTGCTTATCCGAATTCGGCTATGCAATTCGTTGTGGTTGCTATTGTTGTTGGCAGTAAAATTTGCTGTTAATGGTGATGGCAGAAGCTTTGCATGCTGATTCACCGTAGCAATAAGTGGTTGATCTCGGCCAATTTCTCGTCTATGAAGGTAGTGCGGTCCATTGTCGCCGCTAATATGTTTGCTATCGTTGCATGGGGCAGGTGATGTGGAAGATGTGATCTCGTTCGAACCGGAAAATTCTTGAGAACTGTGTGAATCTGTTGGAGAGAGAGGGCACGTGCGTGGCGATTGTCCTAAACGGGTTTGCTGCTCCTGATGCACCAAGGTTTGGGCATGCTTGTGATCTTGTTGGTATTGTTTTAAAGGGGGCAGGTGAGCAGGCAGTAATTGTTGCTGTGGAGGCGTCGTAGATGCCGTCGACGATGTTGAACTAGCAGAAGAGTTTGAGGTATAAAGTGAATGACGTCGAGGTTGCAATTGCTGCTGCTGCTCTTGAAGTTGCTGCTGTTGTTGAAGCATAACGTCTGCATCGCTATGACAACTGCTGCCATTACTATTGCTATTACTGCTGCTATTGTTATTGCTTAGCATTTTTCGTTGTTGTTGGTTCATCGTCAGCGATATAGGCGATACTATTGGCAAAGTCGCGACATTATCCCTAATGGGTATATTAATACGGCAATCGGGAGGATCCTCGTCACCTCCGCTGGTATTAATAAGCGGTGGCGACTGCGGTATCTCATTCGGTGTACTGGCACGTTCTTGTTTTATTTTCAGTTCAGTGGGGCACAAACTTGACAATGACACTTCCTCCTGCAGTTCTTGTGCAGATTTTTGTTGCTGATGCATAGTTTGCTGCTGGAGTAAATGTTGCTGCTGCAACTGCTGTATTTCTCGTTCTCTTCGACCCCTCTCAAGTTCATGTTGCTCACGTTTCTCTCGTTCTCTTGAGCGCTCCTGATCTCGTTCTCGTTCAATGCGTTCGCGATCTCTTTCTCGTTCTCTATATTCGCGGTGCTCCTTTTCCCTATCCTTAACCAATACGCATTTTCGTGGCACAAGAGCCACATTCGGCTGGTAGGTGCGTTCGAAACGTTCACGATCTGTGCTACGCACTACTCTTTCAGGATTTTGCAACACTGGTGGTTCTTGACTTAAATAGGGTAGTGTGGAGAATGCTGCTACCGCGTTATAAGTAGCAGCCGGATGTAGGAAAGATTTCGGTGCCCACGGTCTAAACGCCGACATTGAGCCGATCCTTTGCTGCTGTGCACAGTGGGCATACATAAAGGATTGATAGTGCTGATATTCCAGTTGATAGGCAGCGGCTTCTTCAAGACCTTTCGCTTTCTTCGTTGGTACAGCAAGCATTTCAGTGCGCTGCTTATCGCTCATATTGGACACCTGTTGGTGTGGTGGCGGTGCCATACTTGATAGTGAATGTCCCATCTGAGAAGTGAGCATTTCGTCATCCACATGTAATGCATGCTGTAATGAAAATAATACAAATCGTTATTTTACTTATCCTTGCACATACATATGTAGATAATTTACAAATTTCATAAAATACAAAATGGCGCTATTCTATCCAACACAGATTGTAATAGAGCAGGAGTCACTATAAAAAAATATTTAAATTTTTGCCAAGATGAAATGATGGCTTCAGAAATAATTTTATAGAAACTAGAAGCAACATCCAACTAGCCGAAAGGCCAAGTTATAAATTGCTAAATCCGTTAGTTGCCAAATGCCGCTTGTTTATTTGACATCAACACCATTATTTGTGGTGTGTAGATCAAGCAGTACGAGTAAAAGGCGAAGGTGAGTTTCTTACCGCATTAGTCTCAGAAGCATTTTGGACTTCATGAAATCGCCAAATGAAGTTTATTATCAACGTACCGTAGACAAGCAGCCGGTCAGTTCAGTAAGACCTCCGGAATTCGTGTCTGCGTAGTACACATGCATATGTAGAATTTGTTTATAAATTATCCTTTAAACCAGGTTATACATGTAAGAACTTTTTGTGCCCACTGTCCTTCCCGGCAAAGAAATATATCAAATCATCAGCAAATACTCAGCGGTAAAGCCATAGCAAATAATTATATAAAGTCTGCCTTCTATGGCTTAAAAACATAAAATATTAAATAACAAGTAAGGAAGGGCTAAGTTCGGGTGTCACCGAACATTTTATACTCTCGCATGATAAAGTGATAATCGGGATTTCAGGCGTGGTTGTGAACCGATTTCATCCATATTTGGTACATGTCATCAGGGTGTTAAGAAAATATAATATACCGATTTTCATTGAAATCGATCGAGTACTTCCTGATGTATGGTTTTTGGTCCATAAGTGGTCGACGCCACGTCCATTTTCAATTTTTAAAAAAGCCTGGATGCAACTTCCTTCTG